CACACACACACACACCCCCTCACCCTCTCTCTCTCTCGTTGGGCTGCCTTGGAGGGTAGCCGTCCTCCCAAGTCAGAGCTGGAGGGTGGGTCGCTTGAGGAGGCTTTAAAACAGCTTTGGAAGTGTCTTCACTACAAAGCCCATGCACCCCCGACACACTGGCTTGGGGACACTGGGAGTTGTGGTGGATCTACCACCGTCCCCCCCCCCAGAAAGGTGGGGGGGCAGGTCCAGATCTTGGCTGGACAGCCATTCCCATCATCCCTCAGCTTTTGGCTCTGAGGCCTGGAGCTTGACAGCATCTGGAAGGGGTTCCCTGCTTTACAGCGAGGAAAAAAGAGAATTATTTGGGGCCTTAAAAGGCATCAGAATGAAGGCTTCATGGCCTAGGTAATTTTCTAGATGTTTTGTGTTATGTGCTGTCATATACGAACCAAATTGTAGCCACCCTACTAGAGCTTTTAAGGTAAATTTCGTAAATTTAAATATTTGCTGGCGGTGCATAATGTTTTCATGGCTCTGATAAACTGGAAAGGGCAATACAGGTGAGAATAGAAGACCCAGAACAGCTTCCTTAACATTGAGGGTTATATGACGTACAATCCAGCCTTAAAACAGTGCAGGCACACACCAGACAGCTGCAGAAGTGAAGCTACAGCGAGGAAGTGGATTTCTACAGATTTATGGAAAGATATCTTGAGAGTTCCCAGTTAAATCTGGATGGGAATCCCAGTAAATCTTGTGCTTCCTCAAAACCAGTGGGGGGGGGAGAGAGAAAGGGAGACAGAACATCCCCTCACCTGGAAAAAAACACAACCTAATTGTTTCCCACAGGGAAATGGAGCTAAATCTGTTTCAACAACATCAAAAAAGTAGTCTTGTGATACCCCTAAAGATGGCCCATTTTGTTACACCTCAAGTGTCCCTAAAGGGACATCCAAAATGAGAAACTGTTACCCCCCCCCTTTGGCAAATTGTTACGCACAACTTTAGAGGAGTGGGTGGCACTCAATGAGGTCAGCGAGAATTAAAATGCCAAAAGTTGTAACACCGATAATTATTTTAATAGTCATTAACAAACAGTAATTAGGCAGAACTCCAACGTTCCTGCATGGATTATTCACAGTGCTGTGTGATTTTAAAAAGAACAAGGTTGTCACTATCCAGGCTCCCAGAGATAAGAGTGGATGATTTCTTCCTTCAGGTTTTCTGGCATGGAAACCTATCTTTGACGTGATTTTGTAAAACAATGGTCACGTTGGGGACCAAGACAGAATGTCCTAGCTAGGCTAGTATGTTCGTTCGTTCCATTCATTCATTCAAATGTTTACAGATCACTTGAATGCTGCCATTTTTGATGTCAGATTTGTGATGGTTTATTTCTTCTGCGTAAAGACTGGCCGGAGCAGAATTGATCGCTAACAGAGGATGGCGAACATCCCACTGGTGGTGGAAGAGGTCTGTGAAGCCATGATGTTGTCAATGACGATTTTGCTGCCGTTCCCATTGCTTCCTACTTTTCCACTATAGGATGTCATGACCTCCAAAAAGATCTACAGTCCAGCAAGGGACTTCCTGGGGATGTACGGTCAAATCGAAACCTTCCGAGCCCTGAAAGCAACATTTTTAGAGACAGTGCTGGAGGTAGAGACCCAAAGGGTTCTGGCACAGCCCGAAGGAGAAACTGACAAGCCTTCTTTCTGCCCGGGGGTGTGTGTGGGTCATTTCTAGTCAAACAGGTTTTTGAAACAGCAAAAAGGCCTTGTTGTTCAGCTCAGAAAATGACAAGTGTACTACTTATCAATTTTTGAAATGATTTCCATTGAGAGTGTCAGCCTTCTCTTACAGGTATGGGGATGATGTGCCATGTAGTCTGGAGGAAAACAGGCTGAGGAAAACAGCCCCGATTTACTCTTTTAAGGCCTTGGCTGATATGGATGGCCTCTCTGCCTGGGTTTCAAAAAACCCCATAATCCACGGCGTGGTGGCCAGGAGCAGTGGAAGTTGTCATTCAACATATTGGGAAGACAGAGAGAGAGGCAAACTTATTCATAAGACAGCTTGCTATATTTATTTGCCCCGTACATACTTCGTTTTTCCTCCAGTAAGCGCAAGGTGGAGAGCGTGGCTGTCTTCCTCATGACAACCCAACGAGGTAGGACAGGCCGGAAGGGGGGAAAGCATACGGCCCCACTGTGAGTTCCATGTGAATTTTTAGCTTTTAATATTGCCTGTTAATTATAAAAGCTGCCTTGAGTCCTTCTTAAGGAGCAAGGTGGGGTCAAAAATATTAATATAATATAATGTAATATAATATAATGTAATATAATGTAATATAATGTAATATAATATAATATAATAAATATAATATAATATAATATAATATAATATAATATAATATAATATATGGCTTGACAGGGATTTTAACCTGCCTCTCCCAAGACTCAGTTTGATCCTCTCACCTCGACATTATGCTCTCTTCACACAAAAAGCACCTTTTTCCAGACACGGAAAGTCACAAGGTCACGCTCTAGCACCCCAGTTACTTTTTTTAAAGGATCTGTGAGGAATCCTTTCCCCATCCCTTTTTTTTTTCTTTTTTTAATACTGCCTTGTAGCAGCAGATTATGGTCTAACTTGGCATGGGGAGATTTCTATTTTGTCTCCAGCTTAAAATACATTGGCTTTCTTCCCAAACCGCTAATGTTTTATCAGGAGGGAAAAATAGCTCTGTGGTTTACATTAAGACTGCAGTTCCATTAGGGAGAGAGGCAAAAAAAAAATAGTCAATTGATCCAAAGGAAAAGAGAGGTAAAATACTTACTTTGAAGTGCTTTGGAAACACATTTGCAGAGCAAATGAACACTTGATTCCCTCATCAAGGACACCAAACAAGGCAATGAAAAAAAGAAAAGAAAAAGAAAAAACTGACTGCATGAGGTCTAGCCCCATGGGGGAGCTTCTTGAAATGTTAATGTCCATGTGTACCCGTTCCTCTAAAGCCCAGAGTGAAATTTCTCCAATGTTTAAGCAGCACAAACATAACAGATCTTAGCATCACCATCCACCTCACTACCAACATTAATACAACATTTTGTTATTCTTATCAAAATTATTACAGTGATATTTTTAGCAGTAGTGCTCTGAGCAAAAAAAAGGCTTTCATCATTGATTAAAAAAATATTTATAAATGACTTTTCTAACCAGTAGGGTCATGAAAGTGAGGCAAAATAGATTTGCGGCAAACAAACAAATCCGTAGAATATTAATTAAAAATAGATTGAAATAAAAACTTTGAAAGATGGCCGGACAATAAAGACAGCAAAATATGTTTTCACCTACTTGCAGGAAACTCTGACAGAGAAGAAGCCAGCCTGGATAGGGGGGTTTCATGATGGAGGAGCCACCACAGACTAAGCCCTGCTACTCAATATTCTAGCTTCCCTCGGGTGACAGAACTTTTTGAAATCTGTTTCAAAAAGATGAACACTGATACAGGAATGGGGGGAGCATGGTTTTCTTTTTTAAGATCAAAACAGGCTGAAGAACACCCTTTTGTACAATTCGAATGCAAATAAAGTAAAGAAAAAGTCTTCCTGAGCATCTTGCTAATAAGGTATGTGGAGTTGCTCTCAGATCAATATACTGTAAGCTAGTTTTTGGTCTCTGAATTACAGCCCAAGGGGCACAGCACTAGAGGAAAAACAGGACGGGGAGGGAGAAGGAAAATGCAGGGTCGGGCGCCTGCTTTTATACCGTTCTAATAAGAAGTAGCTGCAATGGAAAGAGTTTAGGTATGATGATGGAATGGCTATTGCTAATTTACAGGGGAGGAGGGGAGCCAAAAGGACCTTGGGCCCGTCCTGAAGGCCTCAAATCTATGTAAGTGGCATACAGTATAATTGAATGGATTAATGCTAGGCCTTTTTGGAAGAAAAAAACTCCCAATACAGTGTATTTCAAATATTATTCCTTAGGGCTGCCTTTTCCTTTGACATCTTGAGAGTCTTCATATCTCAGCACTGTTGGAAAAATCGAGGGGGAAAAAGAAAGAAGATAAATGAGGTACTGTATGTGTTTTTCATGTTAAAGCTTCAGGCAGAGGGACCTTCCGACGTTTTGGCAGAGAGTTGTGGGGTGGCTTTGAGGCGGGAGGAACGTCTTTTGTTGCAAACACCACCCGCACGCTGCATTGCAGATCCTACATCATTCCTAGGCACAAGCCAGCCTGGAGAGAGACAGATCCTTTCTGCTGAATGAATTCAAATGCATAAGGCCAGGAAAGGCAACATGGAAAAAATAATAATACAGTGTATTTAAAAACAAATAAGGTTATTCCACCCCTTAGTGGCAAGTAGGTGCATTGCAAGCTTTTGGAAAAAAAAATTAATCAGGGATGGGTTGATATCAGGAAGCTTCTGCCATTAATACGTAGTCTTGTTAATAGCAGGAAGTCCTGCCATTAATAGTCTTGTTCAGAGCTTCCAGTAGCAAAGTTGTGGCTTCCTTTTTTTTGAGTCAATCCGTCTCACATTTGAGTTGCTTCTTCTCCCACTTTTCTCCCAGCACGATTGTTTTCATCCACGAGATGCTCGAGGGAGATACGTAATAATAACCTTTGAATTGCAGCAGTGCAAGGGGCCCCGTGGATCATGAAGTTTAGCCCCTCTCCACAAGGTACAATTATGTGGAACTGAACTTCCAATCATGAAGTTTAGCCCCTCTCCACAAGGTGCAATTATGTGGAACTGAACTTCCAACCTCTGGCTCCACAGCCAGAGACTTCAGCTACTGAACTATCCATCCAGCAGTTGCTTCAGTTTACTCCTTTTTTGGCTTCTACTAAGGATGGATTGGATCTACAACAGCAGTTGTCTTTTGGGCACCCTTCTGGACGTACGCCTTAACGGGGTGGGGTAGTACCAGATACAGCCGACTGTAACTAACATTTCCTGCTAGTAAAGGAGTTCCAATGGTGTGCATGTGATGGGAATTGTAGCAGGAACAGGGCCCGTTGGAGAAGGCAGTTCAGTGGCAGAAGAACCACCCAGCTTCTCGGACTCCATGTGGTTCCCAAACTAAGAGTTTGCTCTTTTTAAACAGGGAACATACGTAGATCTCAGTTTTTTTTAAAAGGGAGAGCACAATTATCATGTCTATTTTGTATTTAATTGGAGGAAAAACATTATGTACCAAAGCAATCTGAATTGCACAACGGGAAGTAAATCCAAAAATGATTAACACATTATGTACCAAAGCAATCTGAATTGCAGAATCGGCAGTAAATCCAAAAATCAATGATGATTCAATTTCCTGTGTATTTTCCCCGATGCAATTTATTTGCATTTAATTTTCAGAGAGAAAGTCATCAAAACCTATGGTTTTTTAAAAAGCCATGACACTCTATTCTTCCTAAGCCAGAGGAGTGCATTTTTAGGGTGCCCTTTCCCCTTAGAACCAAAATCAGAGCTTAAGCTTTGTTTAGGAGGACAAAACAGCTTCTTCAGAAAACTGAGGGACTGCCTGTAAGCTTATGCTACAGGATCGCTGTTGTGCTGATCCCAGCAAATACGACAGATCTGGTTGAAAAGCTGTGCTTCGCTAGCTTGGTTGGTGAACTGCACCAACAGGCCTTTACAACTGCAGAACTGGAAGGGATCCTATAGAAAAACAGGAACATTATTTTATTTTCAACTTGCACATCACAGAATCAGAGAACAGTGAAGTTGGAAGGGGCCTATAAAGCTATCGAGTCCAACCCCCTGCTCAGTGCAGGGATCCAAATCAAAGGAGATCTGCCAGGGGATTGTCCAAGTGTCTCTTGAAGGCCTCTAAGTGTTAAGAGCCCTCCCCACCACTCAAAGTCACTGGTGCCATTGTCATACTGCTCTAACAGTTAGGAAGTTTTTCCTGATATTCCATCGGAAGGAGGCATTTCACATTTCTGAGAACCCACTAAGAGAAAGTCTTCAGAAAAATGAGAATACACTACAAAGCTTTTGCGTGAAATAGCACTATTTTCTGCAGATTTTTCACTTGGAAATACCATGGCATTATACCCTGGACGTGCCATCCCGGGACACCATCAATACAGGTGTTTTTCAGAATACCGCAACAATAAAACATGTTTCCTGTCCCAAAGAGCAAGTAATAGCTATTTGGATAAAGAATGACAGCAGAAGAAGTCAACCAGAGAGGCAGAGAGAGGGCCAAAAAAAGGCGAAGGAATTAATACCAGTAAAGGCAAAATATAATTTCTTCCTTGGGCAAATATTCACTGTGTGCCATAAAGAGGTAAGAAATAGATCTTCCCAATACAGCTGGAAGAGGTTTACTTTCTAATGGCATCATCATGCCAGAGCAGAAGTGACAGTGACAGATAGAAGACAATTTGCCTACAGAAGGAAGAGGGGAGAGGAGATACTTTCTTAAGCAAGTTAATTGGAAGGAGGCGAAAATGATTCACCATACACATTATCAAAGAGGTTTTTTTTAAAAAAATTGAGAGACAGCTACACACCTCACGTCACAGCAGTCTGAGCTACACTTAGGCAACCCTATGCAAAACTATAGGTACAGTGGTGCCTCGCATTACTTAAGCAAGTTAATTGGAAGGAGGCGAAACTGATTCACCATACAAATTATCAAAACTATGGGTACAGTGGCGCCTCGCATTACGATGTTAATTCATTCCAGTGAAATTGCTGTAGAACGAAAACATTAAGCGAAATTAAAAAGCCCATAGAAACGCATTAAAACCCAATTAATGTGTTCCTATGGGCTTGAAACTCACCGTCCAGTGAAGATCCTCCATAGCGCGGCCATTTTCGCTGCCCGTGCAGCGAGGAATCCGTCCCAGAAAACAGTGGGCAGCCATTTTGAAACCGCCGATCAGCTGTAGGAAAACCGTCGTTTTGCGAGAATCGGTTCCCGAAGCAGGGAACTGATCATCGCAAAGTGAAATTCCCCCATAGAAACATAGTTTTGCGATCGCTTTTGCGATCGCAAAAACTTCATTGTTATGCGATTTCGTCGTAAAACGGAGCACTCGTCTTGTGAGGCACCACTGTACATTCTAGAATTTTTGAAATGAGGTTCTCAAATCTGTATCAAGAGTTCAGGAGGGTTCAAAAATTATTTTAAAAAACCTCTAGGTCGGCTTCCCAGTAGCTAACCGAGAGGTTAGGCTAAGAGACCGGCTGCTCTCAGCTTTCCCCATGAAATCTTTCCCAAACCAGCACCCACATTCTACTCTCTCTGTATTTTAATTCTTCCTGCTTGGGGCTTGCCTCTTCTTTACATTTAAATGTCTTTAAGTGAAGCCAAACTCAAAATGAAACATTGCTTTCTCCAGCTCACTGTAGATCAGGAAGAAAAATTCTTGAATGCGAGAAGAGAGGTAACGCCCGCGGGACAAACATGGGACCGAAACATCTCTTTTGATTTGAAACAGGCTCCAGAAATTCTTGTTATAAAGACACTGCATTTGAATGACAGCAGGAAACGCACAGAGATACTGTATGTCTAAGTAGACCAACCTTTTTAAAAGCTGAAGGAGAAAAGCCCAGAGGTTCGTTCTGGGAAATGCCCTTCGTTACAAATAGGACTGGGTTCAAGAGACATCTGAGCCTGGAACTGGGAGACTTTTTTTTAACATTTTGAATCAGGAGAAAAACACAGCCCTGCAGCGCCTGTTCATACCGTCAGCTTATCCACTGCACGTTACAACCACCCATCGTTTGCTCTGTTCACAGCCGACGGCTGCTACATTTATTAAAAACACTTCCACTTGAATATGTTGGAGCAGCAGCTTGGTACAGAAAACTGGCCTCAAAGGTCCCTAATATTCTGGTGCAACTAAGAGTGGCAGGTACCACTTGGTTTTTAAGACCTGTTGCCGATCAACTCAAGAGTTGTACACATTGACTAACATTTTAAGCAGGGAGACACGGTTCAACCTTCTTCCCACTTGGCTTCTTGCTCCTTCCTCATCCCTTTACGCCGCCTCGGACAGCCAGATGGTTTTTCAGCCACATGAAACCGGTTTTCCCCGAAAAACCTACGCGTTGGATGCAAAAAAATATTTTAAAAAAAAGGGAAGCAGTGCCTTGCTGGAATGTTTTCCGCGTGCAAATCGGGTGAAATCCTAGCTATGAAAAATGGTGCAATAGTTACATTTAAGTCATCGCTAGGGCTGCTACAAGTCATCTGTCTTGGCAGGTCTCCTCCTAGAGCCGGGCTTGTCAAAGGTCAGGTACGACCCCGCTCACCCAAGATATTTACAAAAGGAAAAGTAAACTAGACCACTGAAAATTGTAAATAAATAGAGCTGTATACAATCGCTAGAAGTGTCATGACTGAAGAATGAGGTAAGAGAACCCAGCCGGTTGAGACCACCCTCGCTGAGTCAGTCAAAATCAAGACATCTGGCTGCTTTGTCCTGATCAATGTCCATTTGCGCCTCCCGGGATCGACAGGAGCGCTCCGGTGCTTCCTGTTACGCCGGGTAGGCGTGTAAAAAGTCCTTCAGCTTCGTGGGATAGTCTGTCATGACGCCGGTGGCCCCCAAATCAAAGGCGCGCTTGAATTCCTCCTCTTCGTTCAAGACCCAGATATAAACCTGAAGAGAAGAACAGAGGGGTTCAGAAAAGGCAACTGGCACCCCTACGGAATGAAATAAATCAGAAAGGGGGAAATTGAGGGTACGTGGACATCGAAGGAGGGGGAACCTCCAAAGTCCCACCTTGATCTCCTGTCCCCTAATATTAGGATTCAATTATTATTTCACTCCGTGCAGCACTTAGGCACATACACTTTATGCCCCACCATGTGGATAAAAGAAGATCTAGCAAATGGCCGAGATGACACCATTAAAGTAGCCTGTTTCTGGTCAAAAAATAGTCTATTTTAACATTCGAATTGGCTTTTAGTTTCTACCCTTATTTCATAGTTCTAAGCTGCACAACATTCTGATATGAATAAAGAAATAGAAGTATTTCAGGAGCAGTAGTTTAATTCCTCAAAGAGAGGCAGCTGCAAACGGGATTCTTGTTCTATTTTATTCTAAAACCTGCTCTGATCCATGTCTACTTGCTCAGCAGTTACAGAACCATCAGTAATACGCTGTTGGTGTTTAAGCGCCCCCCCCCCCAGCTTTCTCCAGCCATCTATGTTTCCTTTTTCTGGATCTCTGTCGTGCTTAAAGTGCCCTTGGCGAAGCGGCCAAGGGAAGCTTGGTGAAAGCTACCGAGGGCTACAAGGGAGTAGGGAGAAGATCAGTTCAGCAGGAAGAATACAGGGCTTAGTCCTTAGTCATCCATTGCTGCCCATCCAGGTTCCTGCAAGTCTCATGACAACAAGGAATAGAAGTATTATTTGAAACCGTGGTTTCCCAACCTTGAGTTTGCAGATGTTCTTGGACTAAAACTCCCAGAAGCCTTCGCCACGAGCTGTGCTGGCCAAGAATTCTGGGGTTTGCAGTCCAAGAACATCTGGGGACCTAAGGTTGGGAACCACTGCTTCAGAATATATGCTTCATCGATGGTAGCTCTACAGAAGGATGGAAGCCAGGATGGCCTTCCGGATGTGGGTGGGCTGTAAACTCCTATACGCTCTAGTCACAGTGCAGAGAAATGCTTGGCCCCGCTCTTGAACGGCTGTCGGGCAGGATCAAAGTTGGCCAACATCCCGTAGGTGGACACGGGACAGAAAGACAAAAAGCCAGACTCGTTACAGAATCCGCATCGTGCTCTACCTGTATTCCTCGAGCCGTGAGGTGATCAAACAAGGCTTTCCTCATTAACAGCCTGCAAGAAAAGAAGGAATCAAAACTGGTTTGTGTCTCTCCAAACATCTAAAACAAGCTCACGGTCATTTAGAAAGCTAAACTATAGAATAGGACCACGGTATCTGTGGGGGATCGGTCTGAAGCACCTCCCTGCAGATGACAATCATGGAAGTAGGGAATTTTAGTAATACATCTCTATAGCTATAGACGCGCACACACAAAGCATGGTTTCTGCTTCCCTATAGTGGCCAGTTCTGGTAAAATACCCCACCATGGAAACACATATAAATACACATTTCTGGTTTTTTTTAAAATTTAAAATAGAGAATGAGCAGTCAAATCATGGGATTGTGACAAAGGGCTGAAGAACAGAAGCACTCTTACGTGTCGGTCAGCCAGATGGTAAACCGTTGACCCCTTGAGATTTTCTCAGGTTCCTTCAGCCTAAGATGAGAATAAACGAGCTTGAGTTTACCCTTTCATTTATTGTTATTTACCTATTTAGAACAAACATATCTGACTTGGTAGATTCCAGACACTCTCTGAAGAACTTGCAAAAATTCTTAAAATAAAAGCGCGCTAAAGACTGGCGCAGCTGAAGGAGATGAGGACACTGATTTCCTGGCGTCTATCTAAAGATACATAAAGCGCAACAGCGATCCTGTAGCACAGAGGTCTATTCAGGCATTCAAACGACTGGCCCAAATTCACAGCTCAGTGGGAGCTAGAATGTGGTTTTCTCCAAGCCCCAGGATGACACTCCAAGCCTTAAAGGCTACCCTGCTTCTCTCACTGCTGCTGCGGTTCTGCCTCCCCCCCCCACGGAGGCTGTTTACAAAGCACGGGGACTTACTTGAGGATGATGGACGGCATCGGAATCTCTAGGAACTCCTCCAGGATGGGGAAGAAGGGAAGCAAGCCGGTGTAAAAGAGGCCGAGGAGGAGAAGGACCCGCCGCAAACAGAAGAGGATGGGGATGCGGTCAT